AAGTGCACAACTTTATGTTTTTGCTTAAGGTAAGAAAGCGTTCGGATAGCTGTATTTTTTGCGGTCTGTGTATGGAGAAAGACAACTGCAACGCCGAGTATTTTAAGCTGGCTGTACACATTGCTGGAAGCATTTAAAAAGAAGAATACGTAACGACGTATAGAGTCAAACTGCGTGATCTATGTAATTGAATCGTTAACTACAGACTAGTCTATCCTTATAGTTGCCTATCGCTTAGTGGATTATATAAACTATAACAATTGTTATTATTTGTTATTTAAATAGGTCAATGTTACATTATATCAATCAATAACAATGGTTATTGTTATACTAATTAAGAGTGTTTACATTTTATCCCGGTAGGATATGAGTTAACTATTATTTTAATACAATGTAATAATAGTTAATAGGTAATTAATAGAATAACTCGTGTGTTAATAATCCAATTATTATTAGGAGGAGAATCGCTACCACGAGGATATATTCGGGATTACGCTGCGAACTGCCGAAGTTCACAGTGCGTCTCGGGAGTCTGCGAGGAGGAATAGAGTTGCCGTGCAGCCATGACGCCGGTCCTCCATGTATCCTCAGAACTCTCAGTTCCCCCAAAATACCCGTTTCCTTCAAAATTCCCTTACTTAACTATGCTCATGAAATTATTTCTTAAATTAACGCGAATATTACTCATTGAAATTAAACTAATTTTACGGATTTATTCTTGTTCGTTTTTTTGTTTAATTCTCAGCGTTATCTCAACATTTGTAATTAATGTTTATTTGTATAAATATTTGAATAAAATACTCTGAATTTCGAGAGAAAATTAAATATGTAGGTACATGGAACATAATCCGTAAAGTGCTTAATTTCAAATCGCGTTTTGAAATGTAATGTCGCTTCATATCTAAATAATAAAATATTTAATAAATTATTTAATAAAATATTATCAAATCGAACAATTAAAAATTAAAAAAAAAATTATATTATAACTATTTGAATTTAAAATGTTTATGAATACGGCTTTGTAAATTTATGGAATCTCAAAAAAGTTTTTAAATATTTCAAATGCAATTTAAATGAAATATCGTTTGAAACATGATTTTTAATTAAATAAAATTACTCAAACTTTTAATCGGTTGTGTTTAAATTTAATTAATATGCGTGTAATAGTTATATGGATCAATATTATTATGTTGTAATTTTTCTTATTTTTTATGTTATCTATGAGGATTGTAATTTATTTATTATAAAAAAATATGTTAATAAGTATATTTAATTATTTAGATTAGTATTTAATGCAGGGATTAACAATTTTTAAGCGCACAAGCATTTATTTAATTTAAGCATATTTTTATTTACAAACTTTAAGACATAGGAATTACAATTGTTTCGTTATTATTGCTATGTTTAATATTATATTACAAAAAATATTTTTTATTTAAATTTTTTAAGATACTTACGAGTATGTTATTAAGCATATTATTTACAAAAACGAGAAATAACCGTGTGCTTATAGTAGTATAGTAAAAAGTATAATTTTTTTTTTAATTGCGATAATTTGCATAGACAATGATTTTTTTTTTAATGTTAAAAATATCCTGAGATAATTTTATGTTATATTTCATTTTATAAGCTGCACGAGCCAGAGTTACAATAATTTACTTAAATTTAGTTATTCTTATACACATGTCATTAGTTGGAAACATAATATTATTATATAAATATTTCTTTCCTTCAATATGCTACTACAATTGTTGTTATTTATATAGCAAATAAAGAAAATATTTTTTTAAAGCTCATAGATAAAAAAATGCATTCGTTGACTTATTTATACTTATCTGATTTTTCGAGAATTTTTATTTTTTTAGGAAATTTTTGTAAAAATATTTTTTCTCAGCTAACTATGATACCGCGAACTCTTTTGCTACAGTCGTATATTAAATGTCTTGAACTTTGTGATTTTAAAATCTAGTCTTAAGAAATGTAATCATATTTTCTATTATCCGTATTTTAAATTTATTATACAAATACCTTCCTAATAAACAATATTTCTGTATTAATATAAAATTTTAAATTATTGTAATTGTCTTATAATTATTAATTAATAATAAAATATTTACGAAAGTAATTTTTTTCAAATATTTATTCGCCAAATATTGTTATTATATTCACATCAGATTTCATATTGCACCATTTTAAAAATCAATGAAAAATATTTGGCAGCTTTCAAATATTTAAATACATATTTACGTTCAATTACTTCTTTTATTTAATAATTAATAATATTCCCCCAATACTAAAATCAATCATTCACTGATACAAGCTCGATATACGAAAAGGAGGGAATATTATGCAATCAAGCGCTTTCTTTGTCACCCATGTTGGGGTGGTTATACAAAATTATGTATGTTTTTTAAGCAAAAAATGCAAATATTAAAAACATCAATATAGGAAAATTCTATTTAGAAATTACGTATGATGTGTTTTATTCGTAAACCTTTATGTATTTAAATAGTTGACAGTACTTAAAATCAATAAAGTTGTAAAGTCATGATTGTGGTTGATTCAGGACTATGAAAATGTTGGCCTGTTATTTATCAATTAAAGTTCCTTCGTATTCAAAAAATGTTTCTTTTTATACTCTACATACGATTATAATACTAGTTTATAGAAATGTTAATCTTATATCTTTAAAATATATAATTGGAATCTCGGAATCGGCTCCAAAGATTTTCATAAAATTTAGTATATAGGGGGTTTCGAGGGCGATAAATCGATCTAGCTAAGAATCATTTTTAGAAAATGTCATTTTATTCGTGTTTTATTGATAATCAACTTAAACATAAACTTAACTTTTTCTATCGGTAAGATCGAAAAATATTATTCATATTTCATCATTTTATTAGTAATTCGTACTTAAATATAATTTCCAAAAAACACAATTAAAAAAAAATACCGAGCAAAGGTCGGTCCGGTCGGTCATCCAGGTTTTTAAATATTAAGACTTATTTTCTCAGTCTAAATAGTATCATTAGATTTTAAATAACATACTAAGGCATGTCTTATTATTAAATTTAGATATGAAATAACATATAAAGTAATGATAACTATATCCAATTATTAGTATATTCACCTAAAAAACTTTGAAACTAGATAATAGTAGACTTAAATAAAAACAAAAGGAATTGCCTTCTTTAAGATTTTAAAAGAGAATTAATGTCGCCAATTAAATCAACCTTGATAACCAATTGAATATCGCTTTATTAAATTGATAGCAACTTGAAGGAATGTTACCGGAATTTATTCTATGACTTAATAAAAATTACTTCGTCTGCTACAATTTGCTACATTTTGTCAAAGTTTTGTCATAAAAAAAAACATTATAAATGTCAATAAAACAAACTGAAATTCTATAAATTACAATGGAAATTTGAAGTTACAAAGTTTACGGAAAACAAAGTCAATTAACCTTTTTCCAAAGGACGAATTCAAGAATACAAACGTCATCTATTAATACGTGTTTATTTAGGGCCGACGTACACGAACATCACTAAACATTCGACAACAACAGCTTCTTCCAGCAGTCAACGTGCGGTCAGCACTTTTTGCGGCGACAATGTCAACTATAGCTCTCCGTGTACGCTGGCCCTTAGTTGATATTTAATCAAAAGGAAATAAATAAATTCAAAACAATATTCATTGACGCAATTGCATTGAAAATGCCATTAATTAAATTTTATTTTTAACATGATACGAACAATTTATGTAGCGCCATTTGCACTAAATGGTCATGTCATTGTAATTGACGTCCTTGAGTAATTGACTCTTAGAAGTCTTAATAAAAAACTAAAAATAACCTATCTCCCAGTAAAAATCCCGTTAAAATTGGTTCTGGGTTTCAAAGATTATCTGGAAGAAAGGAACACTTGCGGACAAACAGAGAGATAAAGAGAAATAAAAAAAAATCGTTCCAAACAACGCAATAACATCATTTCCACGAAATAAGAATATTATTGTTACATTTAGATATTCCAATTTTATAGATCCAGTAGCTTAATTTTACCTAATGTTCATTAAAATTTAAGATGTTACAATTCATTCACAATAGGGTCTTCCCAATATACCCAGCGTAAACATTATAAGCGACCGACTCATATTTTAACGGATGACAGACGCGACATGCGCAACATCAGGTATTAATGTATGAAGGAATTCCCTAATACTAAATCTTTAACAGAACTATGATTCACATCTAACTCCATTGAAAATCAATTGGTTTTTTTTCAATAACAAAGAGAAATGTCCTTTGTACTCATTCTATAAAATGTCAATTGGTAATTAGAACCGAAATAGGTTTGGGACAAAACTTGTATCGCTCAACGGCCCAAGCACATCAAAATCTGGATGTAGACCACAACTAAAATTGGTCCCTTGTTACCTTTTTGACACATCAAGTAGTCGCCTGACCTTGACTGGATTCTGATTTCTTTTTAAGACCTAACGTACCGACCTCTACCAATTTAATGAATGAGTTTATAGACGCCAAGAATTCAGTGTCCATTGCTGCCTTTGCTAAACAATTCTATGGGATACAACAATATTTAAGAAGTAATCTATGGTACACATATTTATTATTCACACAAGTTATTGAACCAGGCTGTTCTGTTTACTTTTATGTTAGAACCGGCTCTGAGGATAATTTTGAAGACAATATCTAATTGAATTAATAATAAAAATTAAACGTAAAGTAGATTATCGATAATTTTCTGATATTTCATATTCTCATCTATTGAAGTCGTAGTAATAATAATTCAAATTATAGAAAAGTGTATAAAACAGAGGAAAAATATTTGATCTAGTTCTTATGCCATCACTGTTACCTTGGTCGGGGGTGTTCAAATCCGGTTCGTTGTCTTAATGATTGCGTGACGTGTTGATTGTTTTTTTCACGGGCAATGTGTCTCAACCGCGGCCCGGTTGCCGAGACAACCGCGTAGTCTCAGTTCAACTCTGGACATACCAGCGTTTACATATATATTATGCTGCATCTATTGTTACCTTCAGTACGCAGCACATTGGTTTCAGTGGTCGTGTTTCGTGCTTTGAATTATACGCGAAATGTTTAAATATTGTTGTTTGAAAGACGAAAAAGATAGTACTGGCAAAATGGATCATTTAAATGGTCAATACAATCCGCCTACTTGTCCTTTCCGTAGTGACAGAGTTGACATTCAAAGAAATGGGAAGACAAATTTGCGCATCAAAGTGCCTATGCCGTTGAAGCTAAAGAATCATTTAGTTTCGGAAGAAAATTTCGATAATCTACATTCACGTATTGATGAAGTTTCAAATTTTGTGAGTATTTAATTTATTTATTGAAAATTATTAACGCTAAATATTCTTTGATGGTTTGGTAAGCTTTCTGTTTTTTTTAGTATTTCTTTTTAATTTATAAAATAATGTCTAATTAAAACGCTATTAACATACATACATTGTACTATTTTCTGCCTTGTATCTTATATTTTTTAAGAAAAAGAAATGCTTAAAATATAATTTTCAATAACATTCAAAACCAGATCATAAAAAATAAACAATTGCAGATAATCAAATAATGAAAAGGAATACACTTGAATTAATATTGATTGTGTTTAAGACAAAAGAATAGCGACTATTAAAAATTACATTATTGTAAGAAAAAATCCAAATTTAAAAAATCTTTAAGATTCAATTAATTTCTTTTTTCTATTTGTAATATACGAGATTAATTTTACAAATATATAAAATAAGTCAAAGTATGTAAACCATTATTTGGGCCATAAGTTATAGCTATCAATTTGTGTTACATAGAAATCCAAAAGCGATAGCTTTCGTCAAGGAACACCTCACATTTCCGTCACATCCGAGTTCGTAGCTATTCTTAACCGTGAAAGTCGTCCATCTAATGTTTTTGTTCTAACTCTATCGAAAAATCTACCGTTTTACTTACTCCAGAAATAAATTCCATCATGTTAAAAGCTACAACTATTTAACATTAAAACTATCGTTAAGTTTAAAACAACAATTTGAAATTAATATTCAAAATAAAGTTATGGCAAATGTTTCCTATATTAGTAGTTTTTCGTAAAATTAAAACTACCTTTTTGTATCAATGTAGGAAAATTAATTAATATACTACTAAACTACACAAAGAAAATTTCAGATCCTTGAAAATTAATTTGGAAAACCCCTACATGTTAAAATAGTTAAAAAATGGGTAACAGGGATTTTTTTATCAAATCTATTGTGGTACAGTCATTTGCAACTAAAAACTAGTAGTGTCACAAATTAGCCGTCGTCCGGGAAGTTGATACTTTTGTACAGAACTATACCGTAAAACAGCAATTTTACGCTTGTGCAAGGAAATTGGTGTGAAATTTCAATTAATTGTCACTACCTATCTTAAACAAGGAAATTAAACGTTGATTTAGTTAAATACTTTTGTTACATTTGATTATATGCAAAATGGGCGCAAAGATTTAGAAAAAATTATGACAAGAAACTTAAAATTTTATCTTACATTAACATGTCAAAACTTGTCGTTCTTTTAAAGTAATATTGCAATTTGATTATACGGCCTTAAGTTTCTTTGTTTCATATAATGATAAAGTTGGGAACGAATTAATGAAAATACATATAAGTATAGATTAATCATCATGACATCACTTAGAACCATACCATTTCGTACTAAACAATACCCCACAAAATATGTCGACGTTTAAGACTACCAGTGTACAAAGCAATGTATCAACATTTGTACTAGCCTTTATATTTAGATATGACTCATACTGGTATTAACTGCTTTCACGTCTTTAATGATCTAAAATTGTTCTCTTTTTTGTGCCTCTGACTGTACCAGCAAACGTAACGTTAAAATGTTTACAATTTACACCTAGTCGCACTATCGCTGTCTCGTTGTCTGGCGTAACATTACAAAACCCGAGCTTCTACACGCTGACAGATTTCAAATCGGTTCAACAGTTTCCAAGATTTGGAAAACAAATAAACATCACCTGCTTTTATGATCTGCGTTAAAATTAGATTTAGATGTTGAATTTAAATTAATCGCTAAATCATTTTTAATCTTTGTTACTAGTCAAGTTCTATGATAGTAACAATCAGTTTTTCTATTACAAACTTAAACACTCTGTAGTTACAAAGCTTATTTTATTCTATAGTATGCTATACTTAGTTTGTATTCTATTCCGATCATTGCTACTTATCGTGGTGAAAGGAGCGATTCAGCGTGATAATCATTAGATATGTAAAATAATTTAAAGTTGTAAACACTCTGTACAATACCTATCCTCCTTCCTGTCATTATCTTTGAGAACCAAATCGTCATTAACAGAGATACATTTTAAAGGGGATTTTAGTCTCAGAAACTCACAATTAAAAAACTAGATAGAATAAAAGCAAAGGAAGACATCAACTGGAATTATGGTACAGATATGTTCCAAAACTAATTATAGACGCTAGTTTTATGCCAACTTCAAAAATAAGGAGGCTATCAATTCGTCCGTATTTTTTTAATATTAAAATCCTGCCATAAATACAGCCATGTACCAGTGAGTCATCAGACAAATTTATCCGTAGGTGTTATCATCTTATGGTTTCGAAGTATCAATTAAAATGTCCGAGCGCGATGTAGCGTCATTTAGATTTAAGACCTGTTGAACACAATGGAGGTTATAAGTTAATAGACAAAGATTGAAAGTGGCAGTTAGTATCCTACACACAATGGAAACTAGCTAACTAGCCTGTGACTCTGCACGGAATTAAAAAAAAATTTAATTAGTAGCCTATGTGTTCTTCCAGGCTATGTTCTATATCTTGGTTAAATTTTAGCGAGATCCATGCAGCCGTTTTGTAAATAACTTCTAACTTTAACAAACAGTCATCCATCTAAAAATTTACATTTATAATATTAGTAAGATATAAGTTAATAGACACAGATTGAAAGAGGCAGTTACTACTAAACCAGGATATGAATAAATATATTTACCCAATTGTATGCGACATTTTATACTCTGGATAGTAACTACCTAGAAATTGGGAATAATACATATCGACGCGTCATCCCAATCGTTACGATGCAGAAACTGTGATGTTTAGTTTTATTTCTTGGTATTGTGGAAATACGTTTACTTCATGGGTTTGTAATTAACACCTCTGGTCGTAAACGGTTGAAGTGAATATCATTCTATAACCTTTGTCATGTTATATTGCATATTGGTTTCCCACTTTGGTAAATTATGTAGAATAAAATAATGACAAACTAGCATTTCTCCACGACATCGTCTGCGTGGAATTTTTAAACGAATAAATATAATATATAAACCAACCGTAAACATTTACGAGGTCGTAGGGAGCCTATGGGATGTTACAGATTGTGTTCTATCATCATCATCATCCGCTCACTATACGTCCCCACCGAGGGGCTCGGAGCCTTCCCTAAGTTAAGGGTGATTAGGCCATAGTCAACCATGCTGGCCAAGTGCCGGTTAGTTGACTTCACACATATCTTTGAATTTCTTCTCAGATATGTGCACGTTGCATCTCGATGTTTTCCTTCGCCGTAAGAACGTCGGATAAATTTACGTATGTAAATCGGAAATCTAAAAACACATTGGTACATGGCGGGATTCGAACCCAGGACCTGCAGATTGCAAGTCAAGTGGTAGACCCCTGAGCCACCGACGCTCTATACTACGCTCTATACTCTGTTCTATACCTATACCAAATTTAATCGAAATCCATGCAGCCGTTCTGGAGATACTTTTTAACAAACATCCATCCATCCGTCCAAATACGCAATAGCATAAATTTATATAGCAAGGACACAGCGTACTAAGTAGTTTATTTTTCAATGGTTCAATGTTGAAATATTTTATAGTTCTCATGACCTTACACCATATGACATTGATTAAAGACAAGCTATGGGAATCTGTACGTACACTGCAATTTTAATATTCATAAACATATGGAAGCAATCTGTTCTGTATTTACATTACCTAGATCTAGTCTCACAAGTTATTAAGTTTTACAATAAACGTCATATTGTGAATCGTAAACAGTACTCGAAAAAAACATCTTCATAGTTGTTTTACGATTTGTTAACTGCGCGTTTAATTTAATAATTTCAGAATCTTGTTTGTATTTAAGAAAAATTCAAAACAAACTAAATTTATTTATAACTTTGTCCGAAGTTATGATAGCATATATTTAAGAATATAAAAATAATTTCTCATCAAACAAAAAGTCAGAATACGATATATTTCGTATCAAGTTTTTTTTAATCGTAATAAATTCTGTCTACACGACGCGCCTATTTTTGTACTTATAAATTGTAAACGAGTCTCAAAACACGTGGTCCTTTTGTCTTTCTTGAATACTAAATAAAATTCCAAATAAACATAAGTATGTCTTGCTTTTCGAAGAAACCCATTGTTTTGTTTAATATTGTCGATGCGATATTTATATTTTTTGTGACATTTATTTAATTATAAGTTACTAGCTGTCGACTCCGTCCGCGTGGATATATAAAAGAACTTAATTAGTGTCCACCCATCCATCCATCCACATCACATCCATCTAAACATTCGCATTTATAATGTTAGTAAGTTAAATAAAAAGCAGCTCTTCAAGGCATAAATTAAAAAAAAAAGAATAAATAGTATCCTATGTCCGTCTCCATGCTCTAAGCTACCTCCTTACCAATTTTCAGCCATATCGGTAAAGCCGTTCTTGAGTTATAAATAGTGTAACTAACATGACTTTCTTTTATTTATATAGATAGATTTGCGTTTTGTCTTTTCATAAAATAGCTTGTTATATTGAAGTATAACCAATTTTTTAAAATTATTACATCTATTACGTATTAGTAAGAATATAAATTGACTATCATATTTCATTGGAGAATTATGATAAGTCTTATCTTAATTCTCAAATTCATTAATGCGATGACGCAAAAATCGACTATGAGAGTTAAATAGATTTTTCATATGTATTTTTATTTTCAAACAAAAACTGTAGCTGTTCAGATTCAATTTTTAAAAAGAAACTTGTTGTACTCGTAATCTCCTTTATTTCTTGCAAAACAACAAAGTAAATTTTATAGCATTGAATAAATAAATGAATTGCTCCAAAAAATGTAACGGCACATTTATTTTCATTCAGTTTTAAAATTGCCGAAATTGATAAAATGACTACAACTATTATTGTTTAAGGAAACAATACTACGAATTACAAGCGTGGGTATGACAACAAAGATATCAACAGTGGCTTTCTGAGACCAAAATCTTTGTTAAAAATATGTC